TCTGCAAACAGGCCTCCTCCACTCTGATTTTTCTCATGTTTTCTACAGTTTGTTTTTTAATCCGTAGAGCCTCCACTTGTTTCTACTGATGTGATTGCAAACCATTACTAAAAAGCACTCTTAGAGTAAACTTATCATTTGTCTCCATCTAGTGGTGCTCAGAGGACACATACGTCCTGTCTTCATTCTGGTATGTATTATTATTATTTGTTGGTTTTATTTTTTTTTTATAAAATAATATTTTGTTATTAAAAACACACACACACACACATATACTCAGAAAATTGTAGCAACAGTTATAAAACTGTGAAAATATCTGTGCTAGCAGAGGAGGTAACAGGAGAGATATTTTCTCTGATTTAGAAATAGATCAGTGAACTCATCACACAGTAGGACTGTGCACATTATCCTCGTTGCTCTTTTTTGAAATTTTCCAGAAGGGCCATTTTTTATAACTGGCTGTAGAAGCTGAAATTGACTCTTTTTAGTCTCAAAGACACAAACAGACACACAAAGAGACACGACTGCTCTGCACTGGGTCATCGCTCAGTGTCGTCTTCAGTCATGCTGCTTACCAGCACAGAATAATTCAATTGAGTTTACAGTCCAATAGCTGTGCTATGACTGTTTAATGTTTTTATTATTAATCTGTGTGAATTAGTGTAACTTGTAGCTTAAGTGTATCAGAAGAGTTCAACGCAGTGAATTCACTGTGTGGGCGTGGACCCCGAGGCCCATCCATAACGCAGTGTGTTACAGTATTAGTTTATACTGTCAAACAAATTCAGAGTAATGATGGCACTTTTCACACTTTGTTTAGCATCTGCAGTTAATTCCCATCCCATAATCTAAGCTGGGTAAAATATAGATATACATTTTTTTACAGTGGTTTCACAGTAAAGAACAAACAAACAAAATTATAGGACAGGCTGCACAATGAGTTGTTAGAATTTTTTCTGTAATTTTGCGTATTTTATTCCTGCAAAATTAAACTCAAAGCAGCTTTTTGTTTATCGTGTAAAAAAAACTGAGATGCATTGTAAAAATAAATAAATAAATTAGTGATTAAATATGTTATTTATTTAACTTCTTTCAACTACCAGAAAGAGAAATTTCACTAGTCCACAGTTTGCATGTTCTCCTGTGTGGGTCTGTGCTTCCTCCCAAGGTCCAAAGACATGCAGCAAGTGGGTCAGGTTAGTTGGTGGGTGTGGATGGTCAGTAGCGGTTTTTGATACGGGCGACACGGGCGGTTGCCGGGGCGGCATCGTGGTGGGGGGCGGCATCGTGGGCATCGGAAAAAAATTAATAAATAAATAAATTGCTCGCACTCATGCTGCCCCGACATCAGCCAGCGCATACTGGGAATGGCATGGGCACCGATCGGTTTTCTATCGCCCATTTGCTGGGAGTAAGGGCGCTCTCCGTTTGCGAAGTGCGCCTTCTGCTTGCGGCACAGGGAGGAGAGGGCGGGGCGGCGGGGGACTTATAATTTGCACCGACGTTTTTCTGTACGCGAAAAGTGAGCGCGAGAGCCCTCGGTGCGCCTGCTCGCTGCTGAAGTCAAAGTAAAACTTTATTGTCATCTCCACTGCATGCAGTACACAACCCGTGGAAAGGGGAGGGAGACCTGCTGCCTCCAAATAGAGCACATTTCATTCATAATGTTTTCATTCATAATGTTGTAAATCCAAGCCCATTATCTATTCATGATTTGAATCCTGGGTTGTGTGAAATCCCAGAAATACACCTTAGACAAAGTGAATCTGTGAACTAAGATGTAGCTCTGTTAGGTTATGTTGTGGTGATTGGTGGATTGTGGATTTATTTATTTATTTTTGGGGGGGGGGGGGGGGGGGTAGAAATGACTGAAAGATTAATAGGCTCTGTTTTGAGTTTTGTTCAAAAAAGAATGACTTCATATAGGAACAAAATATAAATCACACATGCAGGACACCTTAAACTAGTTTTTTAATTAAGCAGCGAGGCAGAACAAGGTCGGGGCTGTATCAAGACACGAGGACTAAACCCCAATTCAACCAGATCCAGAACTGATCTGGAATTAAAACAGGACTACAACAGTTCAAAATCAGGACTACTTGGTATTTAACAAAGACAGAACCAGAATCAGAACTAGATGATAGTAGCACTAAAAATCATCATAGACCTGCACTACACTTATTTTTTAATTCTACCAAAGTCCACTATTTAGATTGAGAAAAGTTTATATAATTATTTAGCCTTGTTGTGCAAACAAGCCTGCAAAACTTAATAAATACAGAATTTGAAAAATAACAAACCTAAAAAGAAACACTAGAAGATACATGAGTACCTATGATACGGTGATACTTTTGGTAAACAACCATTTGACTAACATGTGTGTCTCACCTGCTCTTGTTCATCTCTGTTCTGTCCTCATTCTCCATCTCCCTCTCTGTTCCTCTCTCTCCCTCTCTGTGCTGACAATCATCAAATATACAGTTGAAACCAGATATTTACACACTCTTCACATAAAAACACAAACACTTTTTTAATTGTAACATCAAATCCGACTAAATGTTTATTTTTTTAGATTGATAAATATAAAAACATATTGTTAACTTTAAGAGTAAAGAGAGAAACTATCTGTATTTCTTAATTGCAAATGGCACCAAATTGTATTCAAACTGAGCCACACTTATGGAGCTCCACAGTTCTTTTCTTGGTGTTTTGGTTGACATCTCTTGATTTTCCCATGTCAAAGAAACAGGCTCTGTGTTTTGCCTTATATGCATCCACAGCTGTGCCACCAATTTACTCACATGGACTCTACTAACCTATCAGAAGCTTCTTCAGCTCAGAATGGAATCGTCTGGAGTTTCTTATTAATTAACAATAAACTTAGTGTACATGTACTCCTACATTTGATCAAAGTGATAAAAATAGACAGCTCTGTCTCTCTTTATTTTGACATTTAACTAATTCAAAATATATTTCAATATTTATCTAAAACAAAAGTTTACTCTAAATTGATGTTGTACAGTAAAAATGTTTTATGTTTTCTCCCTAAAGTGTAAATATCTGGTTACAAATGTGAATATCCTGCTGTGTACTGAAATCCCTCTTGGTTTGCATAGAAATATACTGAACAACATACAAAGCATAATATATAAAATAACATTTACCTGAGTTTTTTCTTTGAAAGAGCCTCTAATGTCCATTCTTATATTTCAGTGCATTACTGAAACCGATTTAGTCGGGGAGGGTAAGAACTGAAAATATGAAATAAACACACGTAAGCTAAGACTCTCTAAAGAAACAGCATTGTTGTTGTTCGGCTTTTCATTTCGCCATTTGTTGATTCACTTGAAGCGCAAGTAACGTAATATGGGTCAAGCAATCAGTTTGACATCAATCTTTCATGATGCACCATCATATTTACATTATTTGTACGGTACGAATGATTTGCTTTGGTACCTGCTCAAACTTAAGCTCTCCTTAGTATGGCTGGCTCCGTTTCTCCAACAGCGCACTCACAGGCAGCAGCTGCCCAGCCCTCTCGCTCAGTCGCTTAGTGCCTGAGCTCGGATCATACCAATATCAGGGGGGATTCACGCACAGTCGTAAATTCCCACAGTGTGCACTATGTGCTTCGAATATTGTGTGTACTTTTTGTTTTATACAGTTGTCAGCCAGGCATCTAACTATGAAAAAATTACACTCCAAAAGACCCGGGCTTCTGACAAAACAACCCGGGCTTAAGCCCAGTAAGCCACCCCCACGCTCCGCCCCTGGTCCAAAATTAAAACCAATGGAAGATGGACAAGAAAAGTTCAAAGCCATCAGGTGCTCAGTTTAGAAAAAATAGAAAAGAAGAGGAGGAGAAACGAGCAAAAGATACAGGTAAGCAGATGTGTCATTGGATAATGGCAGGTCATCCTGAAATGATCAGAATCAGAATACGTTATTAATCCCTAAGGAAATAATGTGGGTTACAGTTGCTCCAAGAAGAAATGGTAAAAACAGTAACAGTAACAGACTAAACTCCAAACAATACATTATGTTACAGATTTTAATATTAATTAGTCATTGTCAGTTGTTGATTTGTCCTGTTCTCAATGTATGATGAATTATGATAGCTGTTTGGTATCCGTTTGCATACAATGCATACTCTCTCTCTCTTCATGTGTGTGTGTGTGTCTCTCTGGTGAATTTCGACAACACTTTTATGTTAATGTACAATCCTTAATATGTTTTATGTGTGTGTATGTGTGTGTGTGTGTGTGTGTGTGGTGGGGGGGGGGGGTCAGAGGGAGTGTCGCCGGGGGGGCAAACAGGCTAGAACGCCACTGTGGATGGTTGTCTGTCTCTCTGTGTTAGCCCTGCAACAGACTGACGACCTGTCCAGGGTGAACCGTGCCTCTCGCAGAAGATAATATATGGATGAATGGAGATGGTTTGGCATCTCAAGTGGGCGGGTTTTTCACAGTGAGGCAAAAGACACTTTGCTTGTTATCACAAACAGTTGATTGCAGTTCTTGCTGCCAAGTGTGGCAAAACCAGTTATTACGTTTTGGGGACTCAGCTAATTTTTCATATAGGATCAGGTTTTGATATTCTTTTCCCCATTAATAAATTAAATCCTTTAAAATCTGCATTTTGTACTTACTTGGATTATCTTTGTTTAATAGAACACTTGAGACAAGAAATGTGACAAATATGAAATAAGAAAACAAAGCCCAAATAAACTAATTAAAAGAATTTATTGTGGTAATTAGACTGAAACACTGATGAAAATTATGTGAAATTTTAAAATTAAATCTGATAAGAGGAACAGCGCCTGAAATAATCTGAACTATCAGACCAATCACTGTCACGGACCAGTGTAAAGAAAGGCGTTCATATCAATTTTGTCCTGAGCCGCGACCCTTCTGTTTGAACTCCATCCATGCTGTGATTGGCTACAGTTCTACACAAGAGCCCGCCTTCTCCTCCCTTCCCCAAAGCTCATTGGTCGCACATCCCCTTCTTCGCGTAAAGCTGGAAAAACACACCAAACACACGTTTCGGACTTCTTTCTCATGTTGTTTCTGTGCGTCCTTCTTCACAGTTTCTTTTCCTGATGAGATTATAAACAGAGGAGAGTGCAGCTCTGCATGTCAGAAGTAGAAATTGATGGTGGAAGTTTATTCATGTTTACACGAAGCGGAAATCGGGCTGCACGAGCGGTTTAGCTCGGGAGTTAGGCCGGGGGAGAAAGCGGACTAAACTCCTTCTGGTGAGTTCACCCTGTGTGCTCGGGGATTTCCTCTTGTGCTCGGTGTAAGGAGAGCAGGATATCAGACATGAAGTTTAAGTCTGTGCTGTAAAACAGGAGCTGGGCTACAGTTAGCCTCAAATTGCTAACTAAAGGGGAGAAAATTAGTTCGCAAAGCCACGTTAAGCACTGAATTGGAAACTAAAGCTGGGGCTATTGTAAAGTAAACCATACCAAGATACTCGGGAAGCTTAAAGCAGAGCAGTGCCTCAAGCTAAAACAGATAAAAACAGTGTAAACTGTGACACCGAAACACCGTCATTATTATTAATATTTATTGATGGATTGTTAATGTTTTACGTTTCTTATTGACGAAGATGTTAAATATTTGCAGGTTTTTGTGCCTGTTGTACTGACATTGTAAAGGAGCTGTCAATGATTATTTTTTGGTTTTATAGGGAAAAAAAAGTTTTGTAGTCATAAACATGCATTAATTAATCTTGCTGATGCATTCTCATAAATGCATATCAGTGGCTGGTGGTTTGTGGAAGCTGCCATGTTGAATACAATGGATGACATGGCCTTAAGCCTGAATTATGCTTCAGCAGGAAGTCTGCTTGGTTTCGGTTGTTTACCTTTAACACTGGGTGTTAAACCTCACTGTGGGAGGATTCGTTATAGCATTCGTCCCAAAAGTCCTGTGATGTCATTTGTATAGGACACCAATGCAAAGCAACACAACACATTGTTATGTTGAGGACATCGAGGCGATGGTATACCTGCTGCTAAGCTGATGGTAAACCTCTGCACCTCATCATTGGACCACAGTGTTGGTTTGTGTGCAGCCATTTCCCTCGTTTCTGTGTTTCAAAAATGAGGAGTGTGATTCTTCCGGAGGCGTCACTCTTATGACTCATCCAATCAGTGGCATGGAGCCTGGTTACATCACATTTTTGGCTCAACTCAGCTCACTTGGAACCGGGGTCAAGTAGCTACCGGTGGCAAAGAGGCTTAAATGTAACAAGTGGTTGTTTAAGGTACTGCTGTCTTGGGCTTTTGGTGGTTGACTGCACACATAAGCACAATTAGTCCCATTCAATAAAGGCAAAGCATCTGTGTTAGAGATTTCCACTTAAATGGTAATTTTATTGGGCTATTTGATAAACAGACACATACTTAAACTTGCGTAAACAAATCCCCACATAATTAATTACTAGTTAAAATATTTTTATTTGGGTTTTAGTGGGTTTTCTTTTGGCACTGACAAAATTAACTTTGGCCTGCACCAAAAAATATTTATATGCAAGAAAAGCTCAAAACATGCTGAACCTGACTGTCTTTCAGGTCTCTTGACGGGCGATCATGGAGTCGGTCAGCAGTCTGTCCATGCTGGGCCGCAAGCAGCTCACTGTCTGCCTGGTGGACTGTATGAAGACTCTGGGGGTCCCGAGGGCAGAGCTTGAAGGTGAGCAGCATTCAGAAACACAAGATCAGGATCCTTCCTACATCTTACAGTGCTGGTCACAGGCTTAGATACCCTCATCAAGTATACAAACAAGGGCAAGGGAATGAGGGAGTCAACAACAATTAGAGCTGGGAAAAGAAACAAGTCAAACACAGTAGTTTTTATAAATAATATGCTTTTATTGCTATAGTCAAAAAAACAAAAAAATGGCTAAACTGAAAGTCAGTAACCAACAGAAATATGCTAAAATAACAATGAGATGGTTCAACAAAGCAAACTACTCACTAGTAATGCCAAAAACAAACTGCACAGCTACTGGCCTCCACTCGGCTGGTAGCTCTAACGCAGCCTTTCTTGTGTCTGGGCTGACTGCTTTTATCACTAGTATGATTTTTATCATGCTGTCAAGCTCCACAAATCAGTACCAGCATGCCTGAGGACCTGCTCCGATGTTCTTAATTTCCTATAGTGATGTTCCACAGTTACAGGCAAACCAGGATTTTACTGTTTGGGCAGATTACTTCTTGGGCATAAAACTGTGACACTGCCCACAAAGACTAATGTAAACCAGCCTTTTCTTTCTTTTATGGCAACATAGTCATCTGCTAAAATCCGCATTCACATGAATTAAACTTTTTTTTGTCTAGATTTACATATACAATGACCACTCGGAGAGAGAGACTGAACTCACATGAGCCTGAAGCTTCATGCATAGCTGATGATTCTTTAGAGGTCTTCTCTGGTTACATATGTAACAAATGTTGCCCTGTTGTCAAACTGCTGTTTCTGAGAAATAGAGTCTGAAGAGACTTTGGGAAAATGTGAAGTAATGCATAGATTTTTATCTGTTTTATAAAAAGTTTTAAAACTTGGCCACCATTCTGGAGTCTGTGAACAGGCGATTGGCTGAATTTTAAAACAGTTTAAGGTTTTTGCTCACTGCTCATATCTGTATGTGAACAAATTATTTCAGCCTCCTTTTAAAGTAAAGTTCAAACAGTAAACCCTGAAGAGGTCAGCAAATAATCCATCAGTTTTCTGTGTCTTCCTCTTCTTAACGTCCTTTCAGCCCCGTCTGGTGACCTTCCAGTCCTCACTCTGAGGGAGCTGTCTGTCTCTTTGGTGGACTGCATGAAAACTCCAGTGCTGAACAGTGACGATAATCACAGCAGCTTGCAGCTCAACTTGAAAGAGGAGGACGAGCAGTTGGGGAGAGAGTACGAGGGCTCAAAGCTGGAGCTGCACCCAGTCTGGCAGGACAGCGGAGTCGGAGCAGAGATTCATTTGTATAAAGAAGAAGAAGAAAATAAAAACAACATCTTGGTGGAAAACAAACCTGAAGAGCTTGCTCGGACTGATGGCAAAATGTTAGTGTTTCAGGAGAACGGCAGCGGCACCAAAGGGATGGCGTGGCTCATACAGTGTTCCGAACTATCAGAGTCCCTCGAAACAGCTGCACTGGGCGCCAGTTCAGAGGAGGACATGGATGCAATGTCACAGCAAAGTCAGGAAGAAGATGCTTTATCAGACAGAGCAGAGACGGCACAGCAGGACACTGAAGCAGAGGAAGCTGAAGATGCAGAAACCCCCGAGCCCGAGTCTGGAGGTGAATGTTTAATAACTAGTGTTTTAGTAATTTTTTAATTATTTGATTAAAACTTAAAATTTTCACCAGAAAGTTTTTTTTAAGGCTTTGCTGCCAATATTTTAGCTTTGCACTACTGCTCTGTTGCCTCTTGGTGGCACTGTGACTATTAGATACTGCTGAGTAGATGTTCAGGTCTTCATCAAACATGAGAAGTTTGGGCCGTACTGGACGACATATGTGTGAGTTACAAATTTCCCCATGGAGCAAGAGACACGCTCTTCAATAAAAACTCAAAAGTTTTCCAATTTATCATCAGTGAGGTCTTTGCATTAGACTGAGTAAATATGACGCTGATCAGATCAAACCTTTAACGTAAAACCTAGAAATGTCATTATTTCTAAATGATATTATTTCCACACTACCCTCCTAAATTGTTAGCTTTACAGCATGGCTACAAAAGGTTTGGTTTTTGTAGGGTTTTTTGTGCATCCTGTGATGTTACATGTGTGTACCAATCTCACATATGCATGTAAAAAAAAACCATCAGTTGGGTTTATTTGTAGTAAGCCCAACTGTTCACATTCAACTGATGTGAAAGTAAATCTTCACCAGTTGCAATTCTCCTGATGAATTTCAGAGCATGTTTAGCTTCTAGAAAAAGGCCTTATTATTAGGGGTGGGCGATATATCGAATATACTTCAGGTATCGCAAGTTTTTCCATGTATGGTGGTTAAAATGGCTTTATCGTGACCATCGAGTATAAATTGCTATGGCAATATTAAGCCATTGACACATGTCAACATCTCCTCACACAGCAAAGAAAATGTTAAACCAGCTGTGATACCTGTGACTGTTCTTGGTCAGTCATTTTTATAGTCACTATCTAGACTTTTCTTTCTGTAATTTGAGATAATCCCATTTTTTGTTTTAAAATTTTCATATATCATAAGCACAAAAGAGCACCTTTTTCATTTCAGTTAGTTTATTTTGTCACATGAATTATTGCTTGATGTACTTTTGTTTGTTCTGATCTTTTGTTTGTTAAATGTCTGGTGTTGAACACAGAAAGAGATGTACTACCACAGTAGTGTCATTTTTTTGTATTTGAAGTAGAAGTAAAACACCGAATGGTCGATTTGAATGTTGTACTACACCAAAGTGGGGTTTTTTTTGTTTTGTTTTGTTTTGTTTTGTTTTGGGGGGGGTGTATTTGAACATTAGATTTTTCTCATATTGCCCAGCCGTACTTGTTTTTATTGTTATTAGTATCATTATGATTAGTTGTAGTAGTACGAGTAGTATTGGTATTAGCTTGAGTATTATAAACTTAGTGCAAGACCCTGTTGCATCTGCTAGGAGTTCTCAGGTCCAACAATAGCTCGAGCTGATTCAATTTTGGTGAAAATCATGTCAAGGTCACAGCAAATGTAAAAATCAGTAAAAGCTTTGCTTACCCACAATTTTTTCTGGATCATCCACAAACTTAGCACCCTCAACATCAAAGATGACCTTGAAAAAAGATTTAAAGAAACCATATTAAGTATATATATGTATTATAAAAGGGCATGGAGAGCACTGTACAAAGCACTTTTTCAACACAATGCCTTACGATGTCACAAAGATGGCATAAAGGTTCGCAAATTGCAAACAGCATGAAAATACCTTCAAATTTCAAGTTTTTACAGCTTATAGAACCCAAAGATTTCATCTTATGGGTAAACATGCTATTTTAGTATGTAATGCTTCAAGGCCATAGGTCAAAAGGTCAGACATTAGTCTTGTTATAAAAGCAGATTGATTGTAATTAAAACATCAATTTTTTTACGTCCTTCAAGCTTCTCTTCTAAACATCATTTTCAACACGCTAATGGAATAATTTTGAGCATTGTGACTTGTAATCATCACTTTCTTCTTTCCTCTTCCTTGCAGCTCCTTCTTGCGTGTCTTCAACCAATGAAAACCAAACAGAGAACCAACAGGATGCTGCGTCTGAACCCCGACACCACCGCTGTGAGCACTGTGGGAAGTCCTTCGCAAGGAAGAGCAACGTCCTCCGACACCAGCGGCACAACTGCAGCAGAACAAAACCCACAGAAGATTCAGACCAGCTGGAGCAGGAGACGTTCTCATGCAGCAGGTGCATTCTAACATTTGACACTAAACGCGGGCTGAAGCTGCATGAGCTCTGTCACAAAGAGAACGGTGAAAGTCACGAGGGCAAAGACAGTAATGAGGTTCAACGAGAGAGGCCTCACACCTGCACACAATGCAATAAGAGCTTCTACGTGCTGTACACACTGCGGCAGCATCTCCTCACGCACACTGGGGAGAAATCTTACCACTGTGAGGTCTGTGGGAAGCAGTTTGGCAGGGAAGGAACTCTGAAGGAGCACATGCTGATCCACACAGGGGAGAAACCATATAAATGCGACCAGTGCGGCAAGACCTGTGCCAGGCGCGGGGACCTCAGAATACACATGTTGAGCCACTCTGAGGAGAGACCTCACAACTGCAGCCACTGTGGCAAAAGCTTCAAACAGCTTTTCAAACTGAGGAAGCACGAGCGAATCCACACAGGGGAGAAACCCTACCAATGTCAGCTTTGCGCAAAGAAGTTTAGACTGCAGGAATCGCTGGCATCACACATCCACACCCACACTGGAGAGCAGCCCTTCAAGTGCAGACTCTGCCCCAAGGCCTTCAGTATCAGGAGCAACTTGAAGAAGCACCAAATGATACACACCGGGGAGAAGCGCTTTCACTGCTCACACTGCGACAAAAGTTTCCGGCTGCAGCAGCACCTGATATTCCATGAGCGTGGCCACACAGGGGAGAAACCATACAAGTGTGAAAAATGTGGGAAAGGTTATTGTCACCCATCCACGTTGAAAACACACCTGTCCGCTCATGAGGAGAAACCACCACGGTGCTCCCTGTGCGGGCGGGAATTTAGAGATCAGGAGGAGTTAGCCAATCACGGGTGTGCTGAGTCAGCAGAAAAACCACATCGCTGCTCTCAGTGTGGAAAGTGCTTTTCCCAGATCATGAATATGAAGAAACACCAGATGATCCACTCAGGGGAAAAACCCTTCGCGTGCAAGGAGTGTGGGAAGCAGTTCAACCACAGTGGGAATCTCACAAAGCACATGCGCACCCACACCGATGAAAGGCCGTTTGAGTGTGAACTCTGCAAGAAGCGCTTCAGGCTCCTGCAGCACCTCACAAATCACAGATTAACTCACAACAAGAAAAAGTAGAGACTGAATCTGATGTTTTAGTGGAAGCAGCCGCAGATTAGGAGGACAAACAGGGATGACTGCTGAGATGAGATTACGTTGACTCAGCTTCACCCCATTTTAAGCTTTAACTGTAGCTCTTTTAGTTGTTCTTCATGTAAAATGAGACGGAAGAATGTTAGAGAGAAACTCGCTGCCTTGGTCTTTAAATGATAAAATGCTTTTAGAATTATAGTTTGGGACAGTTTTGTATTCTTTTATTTTATTTTTTTTACAGATTAATATATTAAATTGGGGATTTGTCCCAAAATGAAAAGGATGAAAAAAATGAAATGCCAAAAAAAGAAACTATTTCGGGAATAAAAGTCAATATTAAAACCAAAGAACTAAGAAACTATCTTGTGTCTGGATGTCATAGTTTTCATTGGTAAAATACAGATTGGATATTGATCATCAAGTAGTGAGTTACAATCATACTTTCACCACACTAGACTCTCAGTACGTCTACCTCACTGTAGTTGTCAGAGTAATTAATAATATAGATAATAGAGAAAATTAAAAAGAAAAAACTGCTGTTGGTCAAAATGGGCATCAACTTTTTGCCCTGTTTTAAGTCATGTATCTCTAATTAAGGAAACTCATTGCGCTCATTGACACAGACTGACTCCGATTGATTGGCAGAGGTTTCCAAATAACTGCAGATTGCAATCTGTCTGAGAGTTGCCACAACTACTTGTAGATGGTTGGCCTTGCGATGTAATTCAATGCAACTATTGGTCACCTATCTTTATAAATTTATTCTTCTCCTAGTTGCAGAGACAATGCTTTCCTACCTTTACTCCAGTGTGATATCTGCTGTAACCCAAACTGTGCTGCCACTGGATTTCTTGCAATGTGCATGTTTTTAACGTGATACGTGTCAACCTACGCAAGTGGCCAACACTGTTACCAGTAGGGCTGCCACAAACGATTATTTTGATAGTCGACTAGTCACCGATTATTTATGCGATTAGTCGACTAATCAGATCATCATCCACTGGACGTAAAACTACAGCTTATTGCACCAGCAGCATCTGCTCTTATATAACTATCATTAGCTTACAGCTTTAAGCTTTTAAGGTGCTAACTAAAAATAAAGACAAGATGATAGTTTATTCAATTTTAATGAAATTTGCAGATTGTTTTGGTAAAGTTTAATAAACTCCTTGCTATCTAAAATATAACAGGACACCGGAGTATATTCTCCAGCATCTCACACTTCTGATAATCAGCTGTCTGCTTGACGTTTATTCAGCTGTGTAAAAACTATAACTTTAATCTCAGCCAAACCGATTTACTCAGGAACAAATAAAATACTAAAAAAAAAAAAAGCCAAACAACAACATTTTTAATTTATCTAAGTGACTCATATATATTTAACCTGAGTAGCGAAAGACGGCGGTGGGTTTGAAAACAATTTGCCGGGAGTCCGGTGTTCTCACGGCGCTAGTGACCTAGCCCCCGGCTAGCTATCGAGCTAGTGGGTAACAGACGTCTCCGAAAACGTCGGAGCGCTTTTGAAAATATGTGTAACAGCTACCCTGAGGTACCCCTGAGCAAGGTACCATCCCTACACACTGCTCCCCGGGCGCCCAATGGCTGCCCACTGCTTCACTGAGTGAATGGGTTAAATGCAGAGAGCAATTTCCCCACGGGGCTCAATAAAGTACAATAATAATGTAATAATAATAAACTGAGCCGATATTTGAGGTTTACACAGCTACATTCTCGCCTGAAAATATGTTAAACGTTTATTTTGTGACCCAGAAAGAATAATAAGAGTAATATTAAAACTAACTAGCTACCGCCATTGTTGACAACTGCGCTGGGCTGCGCTATGAATTCTGGGACACAGCTGCTTCTTCTTCTTCGGGGTTTAACGGCAGCTGGCATCCTTGTACATGCAGTGCTGCCATCTTCTGTTTCAGTCCGTTATTACACTCTTAAATCCTGCTATTATTCCTGCGTCTTTTGCGATCTTACAAAGCTTCAAACGACACGTCGACTATTAATCAGTCGACGATTTTGATAGTCGACGTAATCGTGACTAGTCGACAAATCGTGGCAGCCCTAGTTACCAGCATTCAAACTTGTGCTGGGTGTTTTATCTGTTTACCTTCAGATTGTGAGCCTTTATGTAATTTCAATTTTTTAATGAAGTGACAGTGATAATGGAACTAAATAAAATTCAGGGACTTTTTTTTTTTTACCCTCTTGAATTCTCGCTCTTCGCTGTGGTCAACATATTTGTGCCTCAATGGGTTCGACTTATTAACCCATTCCCGCTCATCTATTTGGATATTTTTGGCAGTCTCTCTCCAGGGATTCACACCCTCCCCACATACTACTCTGCAAGTCAGAGCAGACCATTATACATGAGTTTACAATCCAAGAATCTTGTAAAAGTGTAAACCTTTAATCTGCACTGCCAATGTTGTGAATTTTTAAGCCAAAGTGGTAACTCATAATGTGTCAACACGTATTTGGTCATTTCTTACTATGTCTTGAACTTGGTCCTGAATTGTTTTTGTGTGTAAGACATGACTGAGCTGTTCAGTGTGAAGCTTTAGGTTTTTAATGTCTGGTACAAAAACAACAACACCTATGACCTCAGTAATAGCTTAGCACTTATCTTAGTACAAGGACATGCAGATGGTTGTTAAACTCCTGACATTCAAATACACTGCATTTTGACCATCTTCTAGGTTGGTGTGTAATTATTAATTTTAGTATCAATGAACTTCCATGTTAGGTTAATTGGTGATTCTGGCTGTAGTTGTAAAAGTTCATGAAGGAAGCAAAGCAGATAAAATAGCTAATATAACTGAGGAGTTGGTTCTTTTCTTCTTGAGGTGGTTTCAGAGACACCACTAGCTCCCCAAAGTGTCCCATTTCATCACACTGAAAGCAACTATATGAGAGAAAGATGAAAATATGACTTTGGAAACATGAGTATTTCTTTTCATAATAAATCTGAATCGCTGAACATGGCTGAGAAAAACATCAAAGTTAAGGTAAGTGCTTACTCTATACCGTTAACTATCGCTAAATTTAATCACATTTTTAATCTGAGAGTAGTTTGTGTTGGTCTTTGTTCAATGTTCTGATGGGACAAGTTCTAGTCACACAAACTCTTCACCCAGTGCACATGATAGCAGTGAAATTATCAGTTGCAGTAATGAAGGCAAATTTATCTGCAGCTCCTTTAAAGGAAAGGCGCTCCAGCAGGATCCAGAAGTGTTTGCTATATTTGACTAAGACTGAGCCAGAAACAAATTTCTACTGCTTTACAGCAGAGAATACATTCATAGACTTTGACGCTGAGCTAGATTATGCAGTTCTGGAGCTCAACCCTGAAACATCTTGATGCATGCTCAATCATCCAGGTAACCCTGAAAGCTCAAAGGCAAAACAAGAGCAAAGAACAAGGTACCACTGGGGCTCCACTGCCTCCCAATGGTAAAGCCTGCATCATTGGACACCCAGCAGGGGAAGTGAAACAAATGGATCCTACATGTATCATTGAGACAGAGAAGAGAGGGCAGGCTGCTGATGATTATTTGAGTCATTAAATTAAGTCATTAAATCCAATAATCATCCACTTGATCTGTAATTATGCCACAAAGCAAAGCATTGAAAACATATTAGAGGGTGGAAATAAAGCAGGAAAAGTAGCGACCTAACACACTTCGATGTATCACGCTGGCTCTGGCTCTCCAGTGTTTGATGTTTTTGCAGGATTTACTTATGGTTTTACAAAAGAAGTCGATGGTATTTAACTGATAGTAAATGAGAAGTGAAGCAACACAGTGTGTAAAACAATTTCTTGTCTGTGTGGTAAAAAGTTGAGATGAAGATGATAATGTACTTCTGCACTTAGTGAAGAACTTACATTCTGCTAATAGGGTTCTTTATATGGTTAAAATCTGTATCTTTGTCTGCACTGATTTAAATAGTTTTATGTGTCTTTGTGAGACATTCAATCCTAAATTGTTTCCTATCACTAATTTGTCAATCCACTTTTACTTTTCCTGAAAATAAAAGCATGCATATTGTTTGTTTCTTTGTCTAAGTATAAGCTTTAATCTTCTACAGACCCAGATCAGAAAGATTGGCTGAGACTTATTGCTGCTGCTGATATCAATACACTTCATATGTTACTATTAATCAGTCGTGCCATTTTGTTTGGTCTGTGCTGCTCTTTAAGCAGCCTTAAACTCATGAGTGATTCTTTGTTTGTTCCAGTAGATGGCGGTGTTGCTTCATTATTCTCCTCACTGGTAATCAAGAAAGAAAAGATATTTCCTATAGTAATTTAGTCTGTCTATACATTTATCAGAATCAGAATACTTCATTAATCCCCAGGGAAATTATGTGGGTTATAGTTGCTCCAGTACAGTAACATTAAAAAGCAGACTATTAACATACAATATGTTAAGATATAAGGAATAGCACAATATATACAAATCACCAAATAATAAATATCCCGGGTTGACAGATGTAGTTATAAATAAATATTAAGAATATTGACAGCAACATTACAGAGTAGAAAAGAGCGTGTGTAAAACGTGTGTAGCTATTGCAGTGTTTACAGTGTGTTTGATGGAGGAGTTGTACAGGGAGATGGCCACAGGCAGGAATGATTTCCTGTGTGATTCAGTGGTGCTTTTTGGTAATCTCAGTCTCCCACTGAACGTGCTCCTGTGACAAGCCAGCATGTCATGAGTGGGTGGGAGGTATTACCCAACATTGTCTTTATCTTGGACAACATCCGCCTCTCCGACACCACCTTAAGGGAATCCAGCTCCATACCCACAACATTACTGCATCACTTTGTTTTTGATTTGATAAATAACCATGTTCCTGGTGTGTATTTAACAGTGTGTGATTCTCCTCATATTTACATATTTACATATTTATGTACATCTGTTCACAGAAACGGTTATAGCAAAAGACTAATGAGAATTTTAGAAGGACAATTTTAATGGGAAGATAATTGTGATTCGGTTTATTTCCTTTCCTGTTAAGAGAAATAATATCGAAAGCGTTCACGTGTTTATAAAACTGTAAGTAGTTGGCTTAGTGTATCTCCCAAAATACTGTATTGGCACTATGAAACTGCAGTTTCTCATTTTTACTATTACTTTTGTACTGGATCAATAAGTTAGTGTCCTGCTTAACAATCAGTCAAATAAAGCCTTTGAAATAAATGATAAATTTTGCTGTGCACACCCCACAGCAGCCTAGTTGGTAGTTGTTAGCTCTCATCCCCTAGTTCTAGTCATTTAACTGGTTCTGTCCACTCTGTTGGTGTGTTTTTTAATATCGTGGCCTGCTGTGTGGTACTTT